GACATAATAGAAGACTGGAAGTGCAACTGTCGCGACAAGAATAGAAACTAAAGCAAAATTGCATTTATATTCAGTACTTAAAACGTAACTACTTACATATAAATGTGTAATTGTATGAGTAATTTCCTTTTTCAAAAATGTAAATATATTTTATACACTATCCAAGTACCGCACACGTAACTCCAGTTAGTTACGTGTCCATAAATTAAACCAAATTATATTTTATCTTTTTTTTATGTAACTGAAATAGCAAACAGACTAATTGAACACCTGATGATAAGTGACCTACGTATACAAACTTGAAGGGCGCCAGGGATACCACGTTGTCATGCCTGCCTTTAGCATCCCACATGCCTTCCCATTCTGAAAGACAAGTAGATGCCTAGGTACTTTGAATTGCACTACCATAACTTACTCTTCAACTGAAATTCTGTTTACAAAGATACATTGGAACTAGATAAAATAGGTGAGACTGAAGTGTAGGGGTTAAATCCGCAATGTAAATTAATATAATGACGATAAAAGTAAACATATTCTACTTTTATCGTATAGGTATATATTTGGTAACAAAATCACAATGCGTCAACTGCTAAATTCAATGAATAATGGAAGATACAAATTGTACACGTGACATCCCTAGTATCTCAGGTGTCTATAGGCTACTGTAACCATTTACCATCAGATGGGCCGTATGATTGTATGCCACCTTCGAAGTATAAAAGAAAACACACTATGTTTCTAAATTCTAATTGCAAAGTCTTTAATCTATAAAGGGAACATTAATTTAATAATAAAGTTTTTTACAAATATATTGATATCTTAAACTTAATTGGTTATTTGTCTATAAATTACAGTTTATAGCTTTCACAATATTATATGGTAGTTAATAAATAAATACCTTAATTGTTACATTAAAATGTTTTCTGTTATTGTCACATTTATGACGATGTACATTAAAGTGGTACTAACGTGCAAAATAAACAACTTTCCTATATAATATCCGTGTCACGTATAGTGTAACGGATGCATTAGATTCTTACCTATAAAATTGCCGCTTTAAAATAATGCCTTATTTGAAGTTCAAATTCGATTGGGTTTCTAAATTCAAAACATTGTCATATTAAAACTATGGTGTCAGTATAATAATGGCCAGTATATTTTTTTTCAACGCAAAATACTTAATAAACGTACTTTTTCATAATATCAGTATTTTGTATTATTATTTTTCAATAGTTCAATAAATAGTATTTGTACAGAGTCATCAATGTGGATACTAGACTTTTGCCTCACATATTCTGTTCCAGTATTCAAATTGCAGGTAACTGTCGCCTACATACACGAACAACATCACGACATCACGTTATCACGTGATGCCCGTAGCTCATTCGTTGCCATTCCGGAGGACTTAGATATTGTGTCTCTTATCCTTTAATCTCACTGTCTTATACCCTTCCACCGAAACATAGCTGTTGAAGTAAGCTGCTTAGTAATGAGTAGAATGAAATACCTACGCACTTTTTACAAAGTCCTACTACTACTTTGGTTAAATTATTGTACTACACTAAATTACTGTACTATACAGGAAAAAGTGTTTTACAATACTAAATATTTAACAATTGTACAAGGTAGCTTTTCTAGTTATACTGATGATTTCTTTAAAAGTATTGGTATTTTTTACTTTTATAACTATTTTTTGGATTTTAGTTATTTGTTTTCTAATTTATTTAAGCTGTAATTTATTTCCACAGAACCTTATTTAGGACTCTCATGACCGTCACACCCTTCCGATCGATCTACCATATATGATTATCGAAATTGAGATGGCTTAAGCCGAGTTTCGATCCCTAGCGGTGCCCTCAGTGCGGTGCAAGCAACAGTTGGCCTTCAGTCAATCCATAAATCCTTCCGCGTGTTCGGAGTCTCCTCCATCTCCACTCACCCCCTATCATTCTGTAAAGTTGTAAAGGCCAGTTGCGACCATCATTAGAATAGTTTGAATAAAAACAATCGCTTATATCGCTCTTAGTTCATAGTAAAATATTAAAATGAAAATACTTTTACTTAACACGAGTAAAACAAAACGGAACACAAACATGGAAACAAGGAGTACGGTAAATTCGACAATTCAATTGACACCTCTCAGTAATTTCCATAATGCGTACACAATATGCAAAATATAGAAACTATCCATGTTTTTATGCATGCTCATACCTGTATATGAAAAATATTACGCACTTTGGTGCTTCATGGCGAGTCATTGTTCATTGCGGTAAGTAGGCAACAAAAGTTCCGGCAACGCCCTTTATGAAATCTGAAGAACGAATAAAGAAAGTCGTGTCATATGATGAACAACATGATACACCCATTGTATTTTGTAATCTCCGATACATACACGTCGCTTATTGATTTTTATTAGAAAGCAACTTCTACTAGCTTGACCATGATAGAGATAAATAAAAAGTACCCTATGTCCTAATCTTTATAGTTAATTTTATGACAAATATACGGCCTCGGTGGTTTAGTGGTTTAGCATACTTCCGTTGATCGCGGGTTCGATTTCTATCACGTAACAAATATTTGTATGTATTAGTATGATTGTTTGTGTCGGGTGTTTGAGTATTTTCTATGTATAATATGTAAGGTATCGAGTGCCCATAAAACAAGCTTTAGCTAGTTTAACTTGGGTCTAGATGGCCCTGTGTGAATTTTTTATTGCATACTTACCTCCCAAAAATATGATGTTTTGACATATATAATCAACAAATTATATATATTTAATATTTATAGGAAGAAAATAAATTTTGTTAATTCCAAAGTTGTTACATAAATCTAGTTTCAATGTCAGACCAGCCCAATCGTGTTTTTTTTTATTAATATTAATTACACAGTATCACAAGTTATCTAAATATGCTCATATTTAGCAAAATTGGAAATCGAGAAGCAAGTGATTGAGAAACAAATTGAACTTAGCTTATTGCTTAGAACTCTAGAAAACGTCCACTAAAAGAAAAAATACTCACTAAAAGATACAAACAAATGCATACATACAAATAAGGAGAATTGTCTTTAATTTTTAAAATAATAGTTATATAATTTCTCTAAGCCGTTATGCAGTATAAAATAATAGTAGCTACAGCAGGTAACACCAAATGCTCGCCACTAAACTAAATAGTGAAGCAATGCCTCTTGCTATCAAGAGAAAACGCTGATCGAATAATTTAAAACAATGCACACTAGATGGCACTACTTCTAAAACTACGTAATCTATTTTCTTTTTATAATAGTTATAAATAAATACTAGATTTACAAACAAATTTGACGTGATTTAAAATAAAAAAATCGACAATTACTTACATTAATATGTTCTTATTTGTCTATTCCTAATCTCCAAACTATATTTGCCTTACAGATGTTTCATCAAGAATTGGGTAAGGCAAACATCTTTATATGTAAAGAATTTGTGTTTGAAATGATGCGACTCATTTTTTCGGTGTAGTAATTTATAATATACTCGTGTATATTTTTTAATAGGTCGTAATAAATAAAGAAACATTTAGAAGATGGATAGAAAAGGAGAGAACGACCAAAAAAAAAACGATGGGTATGGTGTAAAATATAATATGTATAAATGGAGAGTAAGCTCAGATATGAATGCTAATAGGGAACCGTTGAAGAAGATGACATATTATAGCTCCAAATAATACGAAAAAGTAATGATGATAATAAATATAGAAAAATTCTGGTAATGCAGGTTTAAAGGTTTTATAATCTGGTGTTGACGAGAACCCTTAAACACGAGTATTAATTTAATGTACAAGAATATCTCCTAATATACAAATATTTGAAGAGATACAATCAATCAAGACTTTATACAAAAGGAGAAAATATATTTAGTTTCAGTAATCTGAATGAAAAACGACGAAATATTATTAAAGAAATAGGTAGTAGTGAAGTTCGTTACCTATTTCATTATGTAGCAATAAAAATATACGGCTCTTAAACGGTTTCTATGGAAATCATATATATAGCTATATCAGCCATTACATAATTTCAAAAGGACATTGAAATGATGAGTGATTTATGTAGCTACAGTAAGCGCAGTGGATTATGCGCATCTTCACATATTTCTAGAATAAATCTATTATTAGAAAACGAAAGCTAAATGCCTAGCTGTAAGTTTAAATTGTAAACGTGACTCCCTTACAAATAAATACATGAATATTAAACAAAGTACATCAGAATTTAACTACTATTGTAAATATTTCTTTAAGTTACTTCATAATTTTCCAAACATCTCATTATTTTTCTATAATGTTACATTCTAAAGATTTAATATGAGTAGATACTTATTTCGATTTAATAGCGCGGGTGGACATTTTTTTGGTTTAATAATTTTAATAGTGTAGTGTAGGTTAGATATCCCTAATTGTAAGTAGTAGTAGTATTAAATACGAGTACATTTATTACTAGATAATATACAAATCTATAATTTAGCAATATAATGGTGAAAAAATTTATGAAATCCGTTCAGAAGTAATTGATTATTTTTTATTTATTTTACAAAACAAATAAAATTAAAAGCAAATAGTTGTCGTTTGGTTTGTATTCGTTACCAACATACAAATCTTTCCTTTTTATAATATCAATGTAGGTTTATATAAGCAAAATAAAATAATTATTAGTATATTTTCAGTTCTTTATTTGTACATATCGTTATGAAGTATTCTTTTCAATAAGCATAGATGAATGGCATATTTTATTACATGTATATAAAATTTGTAAATCTGAATATTATAATAAATATATACATACATATCATTATAGAGATTATTAAATAGAAGTAACTAAATATAAATATTTCACATGATACAAATATGATGAAAATATTATAAAAGTAGTAAAATATAAATATTATTAAATAAGAATGTATATATATATATACAGAAAGATAACTTCTCAATAAAATACCCATTATAATAACTGATAATAATAGTGTTGATACGATAAATATGAATAAATAATATATAATATGTACATACAATATTACTATATATACTTATATATTAGAATATCACATTGTAATTAAAGCATTATATAAGATAGGGAATATATAAATAGATAAAGTTATACTAAATAAATTAACAAAATTAGGACTTAGAAAAGTAGGACTAGAATAAAAGTTATTAAAAATAAAAGGTACTAATAATATCTATAAATTAAATAAGTTAAGTACTCATTTTAAATAAGAAATAAGAATTATAAAAAAGACATAATACACAAATACGGATACCGTATAGAGTATGTAATAAATACTAATATAGTATTACACAGAATATCATACAAATTCAGAACACATTTATGAAAACAAAACAATCTCATTCGGTAATATCAACCCTCACATAGGGATGTCGTTCAATAAATACTCAAATAAATATATCTTAAAGCTAACAATAAATAAAGTCATTGTACTTCAAATGCTTGGAAATTCGATGACTATTACGTAATATTTGGGTAGGCCTAGGTTACAAGCCTGTGGAACACTTCCTTACATTGAAATTTAAAATTTAGTCGGTTTTCACGTGGGCACCATAAGCTAAGTTTTGGGCTTCATCAATAGCTCGTCCCCATCCATGTCCACTGCTGGCGTAATGTTCCTCGTGATGAGGATGAGCTACGACTTCATAACTGGTATCGTGGTGTTTGTGGGCCAAGAGTTTCTTGAGAGCGATGATTCCAGCAACAAGTAAGGAGGCCTTGGCAAGAAGGAGGGCTTTGGCGGCGGCGAAGGCGATGATACCCAGGAATAGAGAAATTAGAGCTGTGATCTTGAGTTTAGCCAAAGCCAAAAGTGGGATGAGCTGCTTAATCTTCTTCTTCTTGCCACGAGCTGAATAAAGAAATACATCACAGAATCAATTCTAGACCTTGAAACACAAATAATGTATAATTATGAAAGAAAGAAGAAACTTGTTCTAATAAATAGTAACTTGAAACTTCGAACATATCCTGTCATTACGCAACAGTCTACAAAGAATCATTTTATAAAATTTCTACGGAAATAGGAACTAATAAATTTCCGCATAAGAAATGCCGGACAACTAGTATAACGACTGATACTAGTATATTACATAACCTGAACAATGAAAGTTGTATTTGATCTGATATCTAATGAAAATGTATTAAAATATGACCACCTGATATACATAATTATAATCGTATGTTCAAACACCTTTAGTATCAGTTTCAATTTCAATAAAGTTATTATGTTTCATAACATTAAGGCTAGGCTAGGCTTATGTTTCTTTCCGGTTACATGCTCAATAGATTAGTCATGCAACATATTAGTTAGAGTCTTATGTAACTTTAATCTATGTTATGTTAATGACCTTTGGATAAACTTCTTTTGTTCTGCTTGTTTTGGTTATAACCATATTTATTATGGACTAGAATACAGTTATTATTTTTAAAGTCATCGTCATTAGTAATTTCTATAGCAATATTAATAAATAAAGATATATATATATATATATATATTGAATTAATCTATAATAGTTATTGTTTAATAAATTATTCACATGGATGCTGTCGATTCGTATACGACATCCACGATTTTTCCGCGTAATCATGTTTAAAAGCAGTTTACGTCCTCCTGTACTCCAAATGGTATATTCTAAGATGATTTGTTAGCTATTAAGGTGTGAAAGCGTAACAAACAAACAAATAAATTAACTCACTTTCCAATTTATATTATACTATATTATAGTTTCAAATTTGTGTAAACGGAATATACCATTTTTATAAATTATATTACTAGAGTTATAACTATACCGCTGTTTCCTATCCACTCATCCGTTTCAATTTCACCCACATATTAGCTCGTCTGTAAACACTTCGTGTGCATCTTAATTGTTCAAACTTTTTTATTTACTCATGCTTAATTTACTCTAGTGCTAAACAAGTATTTCCTGTTATTATTGAAACCACGGTTACTGACCTGGATTTTTATAGAACATTCTAGTGATGCTTCATTTAAATCTCATATTTTTTAAAGTATTTGTTACTATTCATATAATTTCCTGTAAGTATTGCTTTTTTATAATATTTATAATCCTCTGATTAATGAGAGGTAATGTTACGTAATTAGCCGTAAAGTATATAATGTTTCGTATACCAATATTGTACTATTATCATATGGATTATAAGCCAAAAATAAGCATATGTAACCATTTTTCTTATTCAAAACTTTAACCAATTATTACATTTAATTAAAAACATTTCCTTCTAAATTGACTATCACGAAATTCGATACTGGTGCTCTAAACTCTCTAATTTATAACCTATAATATTATAACTAGATCATCAACATACTAAAGCAATGTCGGCCGAGGCTTGCTAATCTTGTTCAATAATAACTGTACGAAAACTAACATAACTAAACCAATCAACACAGTTCTTAATCTCTAACGTAACGAACGATCAATGATCATAATGGATCATTGGAAAGGCGACTTTCTTAAAGAAGCTCTTAGGAGTGGCTTGTTATGGCTCGATTTCTCGATGAGCTGCCCGGTAAACTGGTTTCGCCATGAAAGTTCAGTGACAAGGACTCGAAGACAAGGTACAGAACTTGTCTAATGACCGTACCAGGAATGCAGGTGCCACTTTCATGACCTAGTGACAAGCCATATTTACACTTGTGCGTGATACGACCACTTGAATACAAATACGGTAAGAGTTTGGGTAATGGTTTAAATGTAGAAATAGCTGTTACTTAGAAACCATGATACCGACATACTCGTAAAGCCAAACAAATGAATATAAATCAAATGCGGAATGTCGTTTGTTGCTTCGAATTTAACTGTTTCTTGAATGTCAAAATTTAAATATAACGCTCAACATACTAGGTAAAAGAATGTTTAATATTAAAACTTTCAAAAATTTATAAATTAATATTTATAAGTGAGAATATTCCTTTTTAAAGGATTTCCTAAAGAAACTGGAAAACGTTTTAGCAAAATTAATTCAATAAACTTCAACATTAATATGTAAATAAATTTTATTAATCATAAACTTTCAAATAAGAGAGTAGTTTATATAATTAATATTATTTTATATTGGAAGTATTATTACGCTGCTTATATTTTGCATATCTATTATATCATCTATATTCTATTAATAATGATAATCTGCCATCTATTGATGATATTTGTATCGAAGAAATACTTGATTGTTTCAAGTTCAAGTCCATACATCTATCTTAGAAAGTAAATTGGCACAACACTTGCAATCAACCCATTGTTTCAAAATACATTGTCTATTATTGTTTATACATCATGTTGTATTACAATGCATTATAAGATTAATTATTAAAAAATATATATATATGATACTAGAACCTATTCTTGTATTATATGACAATATTGTTTTATCAACTAAAGAAATATTATTTATAGAAATCTATTTTTAAGAGAACAATCTAATGCCAAGAACTTTTTATGGTTTTAAGAAATTCGTCGTCAGAATACGTGAATATGGAAATTAGTTCATTTATGAAAAATAATTCTAGTTCGCTTCACAGCCATTATATTTTTAGGAAATCCTTTGAAATAGCGAGAAAGATATTCTGTGCGATGTTTTATTTTAGTCATCTATTATGTTATTTAAATAATATTACAATTAATTAGTTAATGCAATTTATATAAATATATCTCATATTTTAGCAAATTTCACAAAATCGAAACTTTTACGAATGCAGCCTTTAAAAGCAGATCATCTACTTTTAAATTTAGATCATAAACATTTTATGGAAGCAAAAAGTAAAAGCTGCTTATGAATCATTTGTGAATATCGAAAATACCAGAGAAATTCTAAATACCGCGCTATAACTAAAGTGATCCATACCAGAATATAAGATGCGCTCTATTTGTTTGACATTGAAATTAAGTGAGCTATGCGGTAACAAATCATTTCTTTTTATGTTTACTGCCGCACTTTCCTTTATTTCTGTACGCGCCTTTTTTTATATTTTTCTCATTTTTAAACTCTGACTCAATATTATACAGAATCATTTCGTAATATGGTTGAAGAAAACGAAAGTTTCACGTAACATTATTTTGTATAATTGGTTAAATTAACATATTTTAATATATTGGTGTTTGGAAATATATGTAGCTTTGTATTAACTATTAATTTGTGAAAAGCATTCCTAAGAGTAGATATTTTACACAATTTTGTTATAGTGTAATTGTATTAATGTCTTTTTTTAAGTGGCCAAAATCAAACAGCCTGATGTAAAATGACATAAAAGTAACTATGTTTTGTCTATTGTTTCTTTATATGTTGTCACAGCTATTTGCTTATTGCATCAAAGAATGTATTGGTTGACATATCCTTCAGATTGAAACGCAAAAAAGCATGCATTGTTAATTCTGAATAGCTCAAATGGTAATACTAACATATGCAAGTTAACTGTATGCACTTTACATCTACCACATTTTACATTTGTGTAGTAATAAAAAATATATTTAGAATTCATCATCGCGTTTTTTTTTTAAATATTCTGAGAATTTAGCACTAAACTCTAAATAAATATGCAATTTTCATAATTCTTGATTTGTTTTATTAATTAGTACAAAATTTAACATTAATAATAAATGTTTTATTTAAATTTTTCTGAGCATTATGGTAGCGTAATATTATACGCAGATTTTAGTTTATTTTTAATTAACATTATTCTAAATTCTCCGTTACAGATCCTTATCATTAATAATATTATAAATGTGAAAGTGAGTTTGTTTGTTTATTTGGCGGCATACTCGCATCTATAATTTTTTATGGAGAATAACATAAACTACTTTTTATTATAGTCTATCAGAGCATCCTGATTATAAGAACTAAATGACGAATATTTTTTAAAATTAAGTCTCTCTTCAATAATGTTAGAATTATTAGAATGATAAGTAAATATAAATAATTAATAATTATAGTTACCTTCTTCAAGTGATCGCTTCATGCCTTCAACAGCTGAAGTTGGCAGCCTGAACTGTATGACATGATTCTCTAATAGATCAGCAGCCGTATCCATCAACCTTGACTCTACCTGGGCCTCTCTTGCTTTAGGCTCTTCAGATAAAGGCTCCAACGCCCTCGCAGACCTTGGAGAACCAGAGCCGAGAAGGGTAACTCCATCAGCCAGGTTCATCTCCCTCGCTGAGGACAGTGTCTCCACATATTTTAGCGCTTTCTCCTGCAACCAAAAGATAATACTTTATATATCACGCACAATATCACACTAGACACTTCACGACACTTCACTGCACAAACCTTCAGGCATAATGATACGTCGCCATCAACACATTCCTTAACGACACCTAACACACTCCCAACTAGTCCTGGATCGTTTGCCTCCTTGTCTATAGCAGGCATAGCCTGCGCGCACGCAAGAAATAGGACAATCGCGTAACGTATCATGTTTGCTCTAACCACCCCTAAAGCTTAACACAAAGTGTGGCTACACTGTATACAACTTCTTGTTTTAAGCCCGTCACCCCACTACCGCAGCACGAACGAGTCTAAAAAGTCTGATTAAACTGGTACCACCGAAATCATTTTATATTAATACGGGCAGTTGTTGCGTATACGCAAGTTTTGGGGTTCATTCACATTTGTGTGGATGTGTGTGTGACTCGGTTGTACGCACATACGCGAGACGGTCGCGTAACCAAAGATGAACTCCATTGTGTATCAGGTGTATTTATTACTTAATCGACTGATTTAATTACTTATATTTATTTATAACATTCAATTTATTTATAAATAACTAATATAATTACAATAAATTAATATTAACTGTATACTTATATAAATGCACGTTTTAAGATGAATTTAATTCTTTTATATTTATCTGTATATTTTAATGTCCCTTTAATTCTAAATAGAGACATTAGAAGTAAAGGGACATTAAAATATTAGTAAGACTATGCTTGACCTACTTTATTTTTATTTATACCTTTATATTATAAACTTGTGCCTAGAGATTTAAATTTCGGATATATATGATATTTCATTTAATTTGTTAATTAAATCAATGTTTATAGTTGCATAATAAATTGAATTTCAAAAATCTATTAAAAATAACGATAAAATAAATGAAAAATTGAATTATATAGTAATGGAGGCATGAAACCCCTAAGTGTCGTCGTATTTTATTTTATTCTTACCTAATTATACACTTGACTTACATTTTGGAAGAAATACGCACAAATTTCTGCTTTAAAAAAAACTTTTACTATTTCTTAATGTAAATTATTTTTAACATTTTCTAGTAAATGTTAAAATTTCTAAATTGTTATATAATTTATATTATGCATTTATTTAATAGGATCAAACCATAAAATGCTCATTTAGAGAACTATAAAATTAACCTAATGTTTACTTTCCTTTTTTATTAGAGGATTTATTACGGACATTCCCTAGAGATCTTATGAGTTTTTTTAATGAAAGGAACCCATACAGTCCACCCAATATTTCTTTTTTATAAAATTGAAATTCAAACTACCTAATGGTACACTTGATGGAAAGAAACGCACCTTTCTGGCTTAAATAGGTTACGTATACATATATATACTTACCACTCATGCCTTACCTAAGGATTAATATGATTTGTATTTATTATCTTAGTTCTATAATCCTGTAATTTCACAAAATTATCTCACCTGTCAAATAAAACACATCTCATAAAACAAGTTGCTTGATGGTTCAAGTTGGTGATGAAAAGCATTCACGCAAATGACATTTTACAAATACTACCTCGGTAAAAAATTGCAACTGTTCATTTTCTATTAATTTATTGAGACCTTTTTATATAAAGATCTTCAAATACCCAGTACACTGATTTACAAAATGTATCATAATTTTCATGAATCTTACTAATATTATTAATACTTTACAGTCATATTAATGTTATATATACTGTTTTGTATAACATTTTAATCTATGTATTTTATAATAATATATTATTTTATATGTGGTATTAATCAGTGAAATAATTTGCATCCATACGATTTCCTTTTTTGCTCTAGTCTTGTTACATTTCGTACTGTTCGGTACTATCCAATTATCATAATATAAATATGTAGCATTTGGAATGGAGAAGAATGTAGATTTTTATTACTATTCATCATAGTTATTCAGAGAGTCATAAGCAGAATGTAGTGTATGTAAATTTTTAGTTAATGCATATCAATATTAGATTATTTCGACTTTCTACTATGTTCTTTTTTTAAATATTGTTTTACTTTTTATCGATATTTTGTCATTTATTCTGTTCTCTTTTCTTCTATCGATACTTTACTTTTAATATTTTGATGACTTTGTATTTACTTCTGTCTCATCTAATTTTCTCACTTTGTAAGCTGTATTTCGGTTTACTGTTGAGATATGGTAGTGAACTTATAGAGTAAGAAGGCATGACACCTTAGTCCTCCATAGAGCTAACGCATGAGGGGATACGGGTGAATATAACTTCTGTGATGGTGTTCACGTACATAAGTGATAGCTGTATCATTAAATAGTATAAAACAAAGTCGCTGTCGCTGTATGCTTAAATCTTTAAAACTGCGCAACGGATTTTGAAGCGTTTTTTTAATAGAAGATAGTGATTCAAGAGGAAGGTTTATGTGTATAATACATGTACGCCGGGGTGGGTAGCTAGTTAAATAAATAAACAAATACTTGTTAGTTTCGTATATTTGTTGAGGAGCACTAGAATGCGTACAAACTGCAACTGTCATATTTGTCTTGTGTTTGCGTAAATACTGTAAACAATAATTAGACGCCATTAACTTTTGTGAGCTATCTACTGTCTTATTATACGTTATGTTCACATTTTCCCACACGAGTTTTCACTTATTCACTTTCTCACTTAACCATTTACTGTTTTAGTATGTTTGTTCCATTATATTGATGTGTCTTTTATAAATTTATTTACTGTAAATATTTTTAGACCTATACTACTATTATAAACCTGAAGAGTTTGGTTGAAAACAATAATCATAGAACCTACTAGTTGAATTAAAAAAAATGTATTAGATAGCCAATTTACCGAAGAAGTTCATGGATGTAGAGCACGTATTACATTATGACTAACTAGCTATTTCCGCGACTTCGTCCGCGTGGAATTTAACTTTAATTTTCTAAAATAAAGTAACCTAAGTTACTCGTTACTACATCAGCAACCTACCAAAAAGTTCGGTCAAAATCGGTCCAGCCAGTTCAGAGATTAGCCGGAACAAACAGACCGATAGACAGACAGATAAAAATTCTAAAGAATGTTATTTTGGTGTATGTATCGTGTTTGTATTCATATGCATGTAGTATTTCAATATTAACAGAACATACAATACAAACAGACATTCCTATTTTATTTATATGTATAGATAGAAGAAGAGCGTCAATAAAAAAGAACCAGATAGTGTTATGTATAATTCATATTCGAATATGTCCTGCTTTTGTTCTGTGCAAAAATCAAGCTATAGTTAACTCACTTACTGATAAAAATGATCAACCAAATTAACTCAATTACTCTAGAACTAATAAAACTTTAATAATAACAATAACTTTTACAAAATAAAATAAAATCAAAGCCTAAATATGCCCTTTTAAAACATTATTTGCAGTGCGAAGAGGGATGGAGTTGGAAGGAGGACGGAGGGATGAAGAAGGAATGTTTTAAGTTTAATTTATATGTGTATATGTAAGTGTAATTCTATGCATATTTTGATGCCATTTTGTTCTTGTTTTCGCTGATTTTATAGAAAATTTTATTTATTTCTGTATTCTAATTAAAATAATAAAATAAAATAATCTATTAACATGTATACACTAATAAACTTTTCTTTTTTTATTACTGAGTCTATAGCACACTTTCCACATTATATTAAATTGTAGTGTAATTCACAACATTATAATCACTATAATATAATCGGGTACATGATTTAGCATATTGAAAGACGTAATAATGAACATACTCGTTTCACGCTACGCCTCGCTTTCTTTAAAGAAATGACCACAGGCTTCCGTGATGCAACCTCATTTTTTTTGTACCCGCTGTCTAGTTTCTTTTGTTCCTTTTCTTTTTAGAAATACTTACGAGTTGGTCTTTTTGTCGGCGTTATGTAACGTTTGTAGGTCAATATCAGAAGAGTCTTTCTTTTTCGTTGCTATGGTGATGGAGTAAGTGTTACTTCGTTTTGTTTGTTGTAATATATTTTTACGTAACTGGAACCGCAAGTAAGAACGTTTTGGCCTCGTGGTATACTGTCCTGACTTAAATTGAAAAGGTCGTGATTTCAAATCTGGCTGACACATAAAAAACATTTTGTGTATCAATTTACAATTCTGACTAACTCTCCCAAATGAAGAAAACATAACAAAACTAAAAATTAATCCGAGATATGATGGTTGGCTCGCCCCTCACATTGGATAAGAAATATACTAAATGTAGACATTAGGAAGATCAAGACTGGTGTTCAATATGACGTCAACAATAGACAAATCTGGGTACCCCACCCGGTATAATAGTCGTGATGATATGTTTCGAAATCGCAAACTTACCTCTTATATAGTCGAGTACAATAATGGGTAGCTCAGCCATCATACTCGTGCACGAGTGCTGCTTATGAAAATAGGGCTGTTTCAGCTGGTGATTTAATTATTTTGACATTAATTAAATAGCCGGAGGTTATTGATTCAACTAAGTCTTAATACATAATAATACTATGATGTACAATTACGTTTAAAGAGAGTAAAATAATGTAACTCTTCCCAGGAAGCTATCAGAAATAATAAATAATACAGATTTTTTTACAGGTCAGCAACACCCAAATATTCAGTGTATATCCGGTTAGCAAACCATATAGCTACAACGCTTTAAAATTAATCTTTAAATGTATTGTAATAATAAAATAATTAAAAAATAAAAATGTAATATAAATTACTAAAATAAGTCTGTTTTATATATATAAAAAATATTGGAAATATGTCAAATAATAATGTCGCACAATTAATGTTACAATATACATAAAGCCATTAAATGTTGTGAAAAAGAAAGAAATTGAATAATATATAATATAATATATTACATAAATGTTGTGTTCTTTGTAATAAAAATATAATATAAATTACTAAATTAAGCCTGTTTTCTATATTTAAAAATATTGGAAATAGGTCAAATAATAATGTCGCATAATTAATTGTTACAATATACATAAAGCCATTAAATGTTATGAAAAAGAAAGAAATTGAATATTACATAAATGTTGTGTTCTATATTTAAAAAATAGATTTAAATATGCCAAAATTATGTAGGTCAATTTTGGCACAGCTTACTACATGTATTGCATTATACATGAGCCAATAAGCATATGCGACTGCAACCATTGTTGTACCATAACAGTGACGGAAAACAGTTCATTAGGTAAGTGTGCAAAAATATTTGCATTTCAAGCGAAAGTTAACAACATTACGGAATATTAATTAATTTTCCGTATGTAATTTTGTCAACTAGTAATTATTACATTTTATAAAAATGTCTGGATAGATTTCACTCTACAAATTTCCATTACTGTATCGACTCGCCATTGATTGTCCAGTAGCACATTGCCTTACTTTCAATGGTCGAAGCTTCGATTCCTTGCACAGTGCAATAGAACGATCCAAACAATTATACTCATTATTACACGGGGTCTTTTTTTCGGACTACTTTATTACTGTTGGCCGTACAGCTTCATCGGATACAGAGGTAAGGAGATTGTTAGCAATATTGGCTAACCCCATTGCTAGCAATATACTATGTCAGGTTGACCTCCACGCGGTTCCTTCTACGAACCATCGTGGCAAATTATCACTTGTCAAGATGGGCTAGCTGACTTAACTTCACGCTCATTTTATTATCCTCCACTGGTGCCCCGCCAGCGTAAACCTGCTGCATCATTTCATTATCATCCATTAAATGAATACTCTCGAATATAAATGTTTACGTAATACGCGGTGCGCTTTCAGGGGAGCTTCATCCCGCGTAGACTACACCATGGGGTTCTTGTAATTTCTCTGTCACATTTCGATAGAAACGCAGCTTAAAAATGAATCTATTGGACGGCTGAAATAAGTGGACACAGGTACACCCTGTGTTTTATTAATGGGTACGAATCCCATATACCCTCTCGTCTCCTCCGGCAGGGGGGACGGTCTCAGAAGATTTTTCCATACTATAAATATAGTTGGACATAAATACCCACGCAGGCAACTTTTTACAAATTCTACCTCAATGGTGGTTTTCTATATATGAAATATGTTTTCAGATTTTGAAACTGCTGAATGCTTAAATAAATAAAAACAGTTTTGAGTAACCAACAGTTTATTAACGTTACATTATAATTTAAGAGAAATAATAACGTGACAGACATAACACAATAATTTAATTTAAGTACATAAATATATCTTTATTTACATTACATTAAAACGAACGAGATATTTTATTAAATAGAATATAAAATAAATATGAGATCAGTAAGTTAGTAACTTAACAAAAATAATTATAATAATATTTGGTTATTCAACGCCTTCGATATTATATATTGATAATATATCAAATAAATGCAATATTTTATTTACATATGTACATGTTATAATTATATTTTTTTGCATACATACACACATACAGCCATTACTGTTAATATATAATTTAATTAACTACATATATTTTATATAATTTATATTTTATACAATAATGTAATGTAAAAAATATATACATATTACTATCCAAATAATATATAATAATATATAACCCAAATAAATAAAATATAATATATGCCTCATATTTGTACAATACGTATATATGTTAAATATATTAGATATTTGGATAAATAAGATATAATTATAAATAAATAATATATGTGTAAACTAATAATTAAAATATATATGTAATATTTGGTATAAAATGTAAATAAATTAAAGCAAATTCCAAAGGCTCATTGTACACACTTATATTACATACTGTTGGTATAATTAATAAATAAGTTAGATTAAATAATAATTTACATTGCGAAGCTTCCATTGCCATATTTAAGAGTATTGAGGTACTTACTAAAATGCTTTGAGTGATACAATAATTAATACACTCTAACTCATCTAGTTTTCATACAAATCATTCGGTCCATAAATTTATGCCAGTGTCGTCACTAATAAATACTAACCCACTACGTTTGAATCAAATTCTGACAAATTCATAATACTGAGTATTCAAATTTCATATTTTGGAACTATATTATATATTGAATTCTGTAATGTATTTTCAAATATGGAACTCCAGATATTAAGATTTGAATTTCGAAATTTGAATGAAACTCATCGTAACAAAATCTTTATTTAGAACCGGAGAGTTATTTTCCACTAAATAAATATATATACGTCTTGATATGTAGTTAGGTGAAACTATATGGTTGTTTCTTAACATTCAAATTAATGTATATCGGTGGGTTTGTTAAATTACTGGGCGTACGCTTTGTACGCTAACTCTTGAGCCTTCTCGAGCGACCTGGAAAGAAATATTAAATGAATATTAATTCAAATATTTAAAGGACATATTATTATATGTATAGTCAAGTAAATTAGTCCGCTATTAATATTAGATAGCCAAAGTCCGCCTTCGAAATACATGTATTTTTACGTTAAATTTACTAATGTCTATTGAATCGTTTAATTGTAAAAGGGTAACTAGGTAAAAGGTGGTAATAGATAGACAGACAGACATATTTTCGATGGACACGATTTTGATTTAATAATATTATATATGGAGTATGACAATGACAAAAATAAGTCACAATTTTGTCATAATGCTTCAAGATCTCTCTTTATGGGTACAACGTCGGGAAAGTTTAACGGAATTGTCCCAATAGACTCTTGCAACGTAAAAATAAATAATGACCCCAGGCCTTTTCCGTCCTACAATTAGCTTTCCCGACAAATTGCTCGGTAATAGATATAAATATACCCATTAAAATAATTAGCAGAGAACACAACGAATGTAAGTAATGATTAAATACTTTTCGCCAGGAATACCAAAGTAGACTTTGCATGAAGTCGTCTATGTGGGTACTTCTTTTCCACCTATCTTAGCAGCAAAAAGCGTTGTAACCTGTATTTAGCTTTAGTGGCTTTTTCTATTTTTTTTATGTAATGGCTGACAATCCATCGTAGTACGCGGTGAGAATTGTCTATATATTAACAGCACGAAAACGATTAAAATATACTCGTTATAATTAAATTAAAATGATTGTATAAAAGATGCTCATCTTTAAAAAAAAACATATAAACCACTTTACTCGATAATTTTATTATTAGGAATATAGTAGCATCCGATTAGCGCGCGCGACGCTTATATTACTTGCTTATAATACAACTTCAATCAAAATATAATTTATATGGGTCAAAGAATTTCTAAAATATTTAAATATTTTTTGAGTTTATTGTTACTAAAATTTATATCTTTTATTTTTGTTATTTTTATCTTTTTTTGCGAAATTTGAATGGCAAACAACAGAATAATAAATGGTAACCATCACCTATTGTATTCATGAACAGCACTAAGATATCGCGTTATCATATTACGCCCTACGTACTCATGCATCGGAAAACTAAAATGTTATATCTGTAATCCTCTAACTCAAGTCTACAAAGCACTCTGCTTGGCCGCTGGAATATATAAAAAAAGATAATTTGTAGTTTGGATAGGAATACCAAGATCATGATTACCTGCTCCACCCAGCACCTCCATGGCCACCGGATGAGACAACAACTTCGTGCGCTTCGCCACCACCGCTTGGGCTCAGGAGTTTCTTCAGTCCGATAATACCTGCCAACACCAGGGCAAGTTTGGACACAATCAACGCCTTGCCAGCAAGCAGAGCTAGAGCCCCAAATGCGAGAGGCACCAGCATACCGCCGATGAGGAGAGGAATCGCCAGGAGTGGTGCGAGCTTCTTCCTCCTACCACGGCCTTCCTCTACATCTGAGCTGCTGGGAAATTTGACCTGGAATGAATAAGAATTAAGGTGTAATATTTTTGATAAACTGATATCGATTAATTTGATAAATTTAGAATGTTAAAATTTGACGTTCATAAGCGGCTAAAATGTCCTACATGAATAAATGATTTTTGATTTTTTTGATGATACGGTTTCGGAGAATTCTTTTGACTTTTTATTTAACTTAATTACAGAAATTTTAAGAGACAAATCTATAATAACATAAAGGTTTAAAGGTAGGGTTCGAAAAGCTCGCAAATGATACGAGCCGATTATTTTTATTAAAAAGTAAGAAGTATGTAGTAAATTATATTATTCCTAATGAAAATATTATTTTAAATTAATGTACGGAAACTAAAGTAAATAAAAAATAAATAAGCGACGCTTCCCTTATAAAAATAAATGACATTAATGTAAAATTAAATTTGTAATTAATGAGAAAAATAACATGAATTTTACAATTTAACAGTTTTTCAAAATATATTCGAAATGGATAACTCAGGATTTAAATTCTTCACTTTAAAGGAAGATATAGTACAAAGATATGTTAATGTCATAATTAAATTAACGTTAATAAAATTAGATATATTTTAATATTATGGTAAGAGTATATATGATTTTATTGAATGCCTAAAAAGTATATTTGCTACGTAATTAATGTTATGTAATGCCAAAATATCGAACTTTGAACACGCAAGTGCATGCCGGTGTTGTTCCGTTTTCAAACTCGTTATATGCATTTATTTCCTATTTAACTGCAATTACGGTTTGTTCCTTTTCCTATTCAAATAATACGTAATCTTTTTATTTTTATACAAATAGATTTGGCAATTAATCTGGGTATTTGACTTTTTTATGGTAAACTAACTGATGCCCCTCTTTATAATTAGTGATTTTCATACATTAACTGTACTACTGACAGCACGTCGACACTTGACGACCTCTCATATATGTACAACAATATATGTATGAAGAAAATTAAACCCTCCGAAATGCAACCCATGACACTCAGTATTATATAGACTTCAGGTCCCCTTCGTACGCCACCATTTCTTTGAATATTTGGAACACTACTTACAAAGCAAGACGCTTGGTAGCAAAAATATATGAGACAGAGGTACCCACGAAGCCCTAATACTAAGTGATAATAAACGCGGTCTATAAAGATATCCAATAAACTCGTAACTCGTGGTACGAGAACATGCTTAACTATTTTATCTCATTTCATCCACTACCGTAGGACTAATTCAATTTTAAATTCAGATAAATACTTAAATGTATTTAGTGATTGACAGATTCAAACTCAAATCCTTCTATTGACACAACAGAGAACTAACCGAATCGAATGAGCATCTAGTTTATATATTGCGACTTTTAGTAACCCTAATATTTTTTACAAAAAGTTCCGACCTCTGTATCTGCAAAATTACAGTCTCCTAAACTCGGAATATTCTACAGCATCAGAGACTACTATAATGATAATTAATCATTCATATTCATACATGACTTAGTGTCATGTTGACATGCGTTAGTAATTAGACGTCAAACATTGTTTCTACGAATATATCACGCATATATAAGTTTGTACTAATTAGCAGAAGAAACGGTTATTATGTGAGCTAAGTAGGCTGGTCTAAGAAAACTGCTTAATAGAGTGTATCGGGTAAAAAAGTGAAGATGAATTAATTGCATGCAATTATAGAGATGCAATAAGAAAGCAGTCACGGTGCGTCGACGCACGGTATGTAGTAATTTTTTCAATTGCATTTCGTTATAGTACCGCTTCTAACGTTTCTTTTAGGTCTACACATTAAATTAAAAAAAATATATACTGTATAATTGTCTTCAACTGGACACGTTATAACTGCAATGAACAGATAAGTAGGTAATACGTCTACTTATAAATAGTTTTAGGTGTATCTTCTTTTGCTTGTCCATTCAGCTAGTACTTTATATACCTTTGGTATAATAGGCATGATTTTTTAGAACTACGTCCCGGTACCTTTTACTTTTTTTTTAAATTTGTATTTGTGTTTTTATTATCTTCTGCATTGTGATATTTTTGGTACTATCTAAGAGTAATAGTAATTATAGGCATATATTAGGATCATACTTTACTGTTCTATTTTCAGTACCTTGAACTAGATGGTAAATTACAGCTATAAATTACGGAAACTTTCCATAGTTAGGGTCCACTATCCGTCTATATGGACATTTTAGAAAAAGTAGTCCTCTGAACCACATAAACCATTTTTAAACAGCTAACAATGAACAATACTAAATAAAACATTTTTTAGTTTCATAGTTGACCTACTGCCAAAAGTACTTAAGCAGTAGTACAAACGTACGTGAAAAAAGTACATATGTAGACTTCGTAATAGTTTAAAATAAAGTGACATACTACATGAATAAAATAACTTATCTAATGCTGATTGTGTTTTTCGCCTGTTAACATAACTTGATTTTTTATCAATCTAATACACCAAGGTATTACGTGCCGTGATTTAAGTAATATATCACAATGACATAAAGCTACCTTCATTTTAGTCTATAGACTTGAACTTAGACAAGCTACTAAAACGGATCCTAAATACAGTGAGAGTTTTCTCAGTCGTAGATCTCAATCACAATTTTTTAGTCTCTATTGAATATATGGTTCTGATCGTTAGTGTACAGGAAATATTGCCAAAACCTCCTGAGGCGGCGAAATTTACCTCACGGTAAGGAATATTTCTCATTCAAACAGCATTTTTATTTATGGTTACATAGTTTGTAAGAAAGATATTTAACTGTATCTTAGAAAAAATATCATGCAACAGACTAGTACCAATATAACTAAATGCGTATCCTGCCTAACCATTTTTATACAAGAACTTTTCATAAGGCGTTACATATTTTGAAATTCTTCGAACAAAGAAATACATTAACCAATTTTGGTTAGCAATTCAGTATTTAAGTACAATACATAACTATCTTAAGAGCATGATATGAATAATAAAATTACTACGTTCTATTACGACTCGGGTCAATGTAATCATCATTAAGTTTACATCATTGTTATTGTTATTACGTTATATTAAATAATATGGAAGTTGTACATTCTTATAACCATTTGTAAGTTTCGTTTCATTCAACATGTGTTCATTCATAAATAATCCACGTCGAAATGTCATCCTGAATGATAATGACGACATTAACAATAGTAGTAACCACTTATAAGCAAACATCGGATTCTTGTTAAGATTTTTTCATCATTAAGGTTTTATTGTAACTGAATATTGCAATTAATTTTGATACATCTGTTTACTGTCCGTTATCTAACAGTCGATTTAGTTTATCTCTATCTTATCTAAATATTATACTAAATCCTACTAATTAAATTAAAATGTATACAAAATTTTGTGCAAAGTAGAGACTCAACTCACCTTTTCTTTTAAGGACTAGAAAAATGATTTTGACTATGGCTCACGTAGTCACAGATTGCATTTGCATTAAATGCATTCTCTGGTCACGTGTCACATCTTTTGTTGAACAGATATCCATCTAAGTTTTACAGGTTACTGTAAACGTTATAGATAGATGTAATTGTACCACTTGATACATAATTTTTTTGTAAATTCACTTACACTTATAAAATAAGTAAAAGATCACAGGTAAGTAGGCTATGTTGACGATGATATCACTATGTTTGGAAGAAGAATAAGATTAAACAAAATTACATTTGTTTGTAATCAATGAAAGTGAAGGAATATTTATAGAAATAAGTTCATAAATAGATCGTCATAGATGAAGAAATATTTTCTCTGTCATAAATAATCAAGCAAATGCTAAGAGATGATGATGATTCTAGTGATGATTAATACAATATAGTACTAAATATTTTCTTATTATCAATTACAGCTATATAGGTATAAAGGTCAATTAATCAGACAAAGAAACTGAAAAGTTAGCTGTAGTACCTAGTTATTTCTAAAGATTCCATAATTATAAAAAAAAAAAAACGCATGTTAAAAAATTTTATGATAATATTGAAACTACAGGACAATATAATGCTAAAACAAATAATAAAGTTTTTGCAAATATGTTACTTAAAATAAAATGAATCTCAGATTTTGTTTGTTTGATAGTTGCTAAGCTATAAAAGGTTCGTTACCTGGACGGTATGTGTCCTCATGAATCCAACAATTTTGTCCAATATTAGGTTATCCAAGGATCCTTCATCAAGGCCTCTCGGTACTGCTTCTTCAACGGCCGCTTCTTGAACTTTAGCATCCTTATCTTTAACTACAGTGACCCCGCTTAGTAAAGTGACCACATCACTCTTAGCTAATCTAGTCAGTGCCTTCGCCAATTTTCTTTTCAAACAGTTTGCTACGTCACTTTCACTGCAGTCTTTGTATGTGTCATAAGCAATTTTAAGATCTCCTAAAACATTGTCCTCTGAACTCCGGCCCTCGTCTATTGTGTTCTGATTGGTGGATGCTGTTCTTGCCGTTGCGGCTACCGCCAAAGTAAGGATTAGAAGGTAATGAGGTACCATGTTGACTGTGTGTGCACGACGTAGCGATATAGGCACTGTCTCTAAATCTAGAACACTTGTAGCGTTTATATGCGCTTTGTTTCACGGTACAGTGGGCTTTACTGAGAGGGATACTTCGATGCATTTATGCAGTTGCTTAGTATATTCAGGCTGTAAAGTCTATGAATGCTTGAATTTTTATAACGTTACTATATATTATTTTTCATTAATAATTTATTAACAAAAGGCTTGCATTTTTTTTTATATCCCCTGATTTCAAAAATCTATTTTACTACAAGATTTTTATCTTTAGATAGATATAGACTAGTATTTCATACAACTATATTTTATGTCTGTTATACTCATATCACATGAGGTTGTCATATTCTTTGTCAATTAACGACTTCGAGGATTGATATATCCACGAGTTGCCCAGTATATTTAAATTGAAAGTGACAGGAAGAGAGTTGACAAGCTGAGATTAGAGTCACTTCCTTAGATTATTTTAGTTTGTTATCACTAATTACATTTCCATCACCGGAATGTCAACGTTTTTTGATTCCGAGCGGCCAGTTTAGATATTTTGATATTTTGGTAAAATTTGGTTTTGTAAACCTACTACCACAGGTGGGAAGTGGACTAATAATCCCATTGCTAGCAATGTACCATGTCAGATCTATCTCCATGCGGTTCCCCCTGGAAACCATCATCATTCCTGGTAAATTTGTCACGTTGGGCTAACTGATCTGACTTCATGTTCATCCTGTCATCCTCCACTGGTGCCCCGCCAGCCTAAACCGTTAGCGCAGGCGGGAGAAACATTCCATTATCATTCTTTTAAAAAAAAACCTACTACCACATTCTCAATATTGTTTCGATACATAGTATTAACCTATAATAATACTTATTAAAAAAGTAGTGAATATTAGTTTTATACATTGGAATAATCAATTGAATTCTATATTACTGTATTTCTGATATAAATATATAATAAAGAATATTAGAAACGCAGAATCATTGAGCCAAAGTTCTGACATCAGCAATTAGATAGAAACTGCTGTAATAGAAACTAATTATGAAATGCTGCTCAATTATTAATATTGTGATATTACCTGATTTCTTTTAGAATATAATTTTTATTTGTTAATATAATGCTGCATTGAATTTTGTACGTCAATGTACAACATTTTAAATTATTATTTAGCTGAATTATTATGTAAATCCTAGAAACTAGTTTTATATTTAGTTTCTTAGTCTGGATAATGGTATTTTAATGACATTATTATTTACTGATCCTCACTAAGTTAATCTGGTAGAGAATGCAATACAGAATTAAGCTCACCCTATTGGTCTATAAAGAACAAAAAATAATAAAATACTTTGATATAATATTTTAAAATTACAATATTGTGCTTTTAAAAAAATAATCATAGTTCAATCGAAACTTCGAGTTGTTTAAAAACACCAAATAGCGATAACTTTTTACATTTCGTTATAGGTAATATATAGGCGTAACAAATATAATAGTTTTAATTTTATTTAAGTATGAAATGCTTGCTACAATACCAAAGATTAATAATAATAAAACAATTAAATGCAAATGCAAGAAATATAAATCAATGATCAGGTTTTTATTGCACTATCTCTCATTAGGTCAATTTTCTCTCTCACACATACACTAGACAATACATACACTCGGATAACAACGTCCGTTTTCAATTTATTACTATCAATACACCCGGCTCCGTGCGTACGATTATTAAAGATTATAATAAAATATGATAGAAAAAAGAACGAAAAGTTATTTTAATTCTTGCCTTCTTAGGCAAGAATTAAAATAATTTTAGAGGCACATTCTTATAGTATTATCATAGTATTCAAAGCAGCAAGCAAGCACATAGTATAAAAATTATTTATTTCATAAAAATTCATATAAGCATTAATATTTATATAAGAAATTACTATAGATAAGCTACCAGAAAAAGAACACCGTAAAAGAATCTATAATTAATTTTCCACGGCCTAGAGGATATTTAAAATAAAATCAATGATTTCCCTTTTGGATATTAAGTATATATTAAAAACATATTCTGCAACACATCAAGATACAGCAAATTTTACTAATATTATAAAACGGAATTTGTGGATGTGATGGATGTTTGTCACTTGCTTTTTTACGCAAAGACTACTAGATTCATTTTAATGAAAATTTACAATAATATAGCTTATACATCAGAACAAGACATAAGCTATAAATTTCAAACCGCGAGCACAGTTAGTGTACGATATATTAATTTGATAGCTGCGAATGATATAATTAAATTTTATTCACACATAACTTACTTATTTTAATTAATACTTGCGCAATGTATCGATAAAAATACTATTGAATAGAAAAATCTAGTTTTAAAATTGCTTTTAAAAATAATAATGCAGAAGACTTTTAATTTCAGTATTAAGAATACGGAGCTGGACAAGAAATTGTAAACGGATACAAACACGTAAATGACGTACCAGACACAGCTACTCAGCCCACAAAAGCATACGCGTTTAGATGTCAATCAAGCACGCACGACCACATAATATTTTTGAATGCAAATCTCATTATTGTTACTAACGAACATTATGTAGAAAGATACGATTTTACATTCAACTATAATATTTACAACAACGTAATATTCACTTAGTATAAATTGAAAGCTTCCGATGACTGTTTGCTTAGATCTTTTAAACTACACAACGGATATTAATGCAGCTTTTAGAAGTAGATGGAGTGTTTCAAGAGGATGGTGTAGATGTATAATATATTTACACTCATGCAAAGCCAGGGCGCGTATCTAGTATTATGTAAATAAGAGATTTGATTTTTTAAATTATTAGTAAAAGACCGGAAAAAAGTTTTACTTTTTTTATGTTGTTTCCTTTTTTAATAGTAACATATATTACATACTATGTTAATAAATGAATATATCCGTAAAAAAGAGCATAAATACAAACAAATAATATATATCTTTTGATATACAGTCTGTGTATGAAAAAAAAAAATATTTAAAACAAAATATGCTGCATTTTGCAAATGTGCAGTAACTATAAATAAAACTAGTAACTACAGATGAAATTAACATATACTTTATAATAACTCCCGGCAACTTGTTATGTATACATATATATACATATATGAGATTAGAATCCTCAACTACTGGTTTTCATTAATTTATCTTCTTTATTGTGTAATTGGAATAGCGAACAACATAACATCCTGTTATCATATGACGCACGTTGGCTCTACTGTGTTGACATTCCGGAAGACTATTTCACTGCCTTGTCTCAACCAAAACAAAAAACATAAAAAGTTAACCACTTGTCGACTGGAATAGATCTGAGGTAGTACCTTATAAACTTTATTCAAAGTATAAGTACTTCGGTAGTGTGGCCATTCTATCTCCACCCATATATTATAATAGACGGTCACTGATGCCGTTTGCTGAATGTTACAAATCACGCTACTCGTGATCATTTGAATTAACAAGTTAGATGAGAAGAAAAACCTTATCACATATCTCGTGGCGCAGTCCCAAGTACGAAGCTATCTATATAATAAGGTTATGGGTTTGAATAATAAATGAGTCAATTGACAAAAGGAAATTTTTAGATACTTAAAATGAATAGATTAATACACAAATATGGAAACATTAATGATTACCGCAATACGAATTTTTATGTTGTTACGGAAATGAAACCAGCTACAAACAGGAAATTAATTGTCTTATTCCAACTTGAAATTGCAACTCAACGTCACTGATGTATTATTCATAGTAGAGACCTCATTTTTGATAGGATCTAGAAACAATTCATCAGCAGTTACGGGATTTAATTGATATAGGTTTTAAATTACACGTTAGGTGGTAAAACTTTATGCTGGAGTAGTCATTAGTCAATGGAACGGAACGTAGAACCGCTGATATCTCGTTGAAAATGAGTTGCAATGGTTACTCTACTTTGCTCAATGAGGTGGCTCTTTATTAATAAGACCGTTAACGGCTTTACTATCAGTAGACATGTAAGACTCGCCTCATATTTTTTCTTAGACTTAATACAAATTGTGAACAGTAATGCACTAGTAAGGCACTCTGATAGTGCCATTAGTACCTACATATATATGTTTTTCACATATTTATAAATCTCTATCTTTATATATTCTCCAGTTTGGCAAGTTAGATGAAATAGAATATAGTATAAAAATCTATTAAATTCTTAATTAAAAATAAATTGATCGGGAAATATTAAATAATAAATGAATTAATTTTGAACCGACTAGTTCTAACCTACTGTCAGCACTGCAGGTACAACTTGGTAAAATAGGTGGTTACTTCAAGAGAGGTTTGTGACTGCGGAGCACCATCCCAGACTATGGCCCATCTATTGACCAGCTTTTTGTGTCCAACATCTTGCACAAAGATTAAATATGACAGGATGCGCAAAGTCAAGTCGTCGCAACATTCTGGGGAAAATACATTTAGTTGCCTCTAAAACGAAAGAAGAAAAAGAAGACTGTCAGCACTAAAGAACTGATTGAAATAATCATAATAAATACATGTTTTTTTTGTAAAATCATACATAATCTACACAGAAAATAATCAGATAACACAAACAATTATACTGGTGAACACAAAGTCTTATTTTATGGAAATCGAACCCTCGACTATTGGAATTAAGACGGTGTGGTAAATCTCTAGACCACGGAGGTCATAATAAAACTAGTTGTTACAGGTAATGAACTAATGAAGAATTATCATAATTATCACATTGAATCACAATGATGATGACGCGTTTATAATTTATGACAAATTAAATAATGAACTTACATAACCTAAGCATTCGGACATCTTAATAAAATAAATTTCGCGTATCTATAAATAATTACCTAACATATTCATTGATTCAACAAATGGCCAAGATGTCACGTAATACATTCTCTAATTCTCTTTCATTGCTTGCAACTAAGGTTTGTGTCTTAGCTTCCCATAATTTCACTGCAATATAA